AATATGTCACATAGCTAGTTAAGCCTGGAAAAATTATTACACAATATCTATAGTCATTTAATAGGAATTGTAACCTCCCTTCATATTATGTAAGTTAATAATGTTTGCATGTCCATTCTCAGGTACTAACTATGGCTCTGAATCTCACATTATTTATCCAGCTAAATAAAATGGACAGATGGGGATGGTAAGTGGAGACTTTTGGGGGTTTCCAGAAGCCACAATCATAACTACTTCCTGTTTTTCAGAATATTATAATAATCTCATATATTATTGAGATTTTTGATGATCTCAATAATCTCATTTTTGATGATGAGATTGATGATCTCGCATTTTTTAATCATTGCAACTACCAAGAGTAACCAACCTGTGGCCCATAGCTACATGTGGATTATTTGAGAACTGTTTTGCTTATCTGTGGTATCTGATATTGTGAAAAGTATACCCAATTGTTGTTTGTGTATTTAATGGGTCACCCAAGACAACTCTTAGTTTTCGAATTTGCAACAGAGAAAATAAAAGGTTGGACACCCCCGTCTATACATCCTTCAGAAATATGAAAAATAACTCTGTAGTCTTGCAAGGGATAAATAATTCATACTTTAGATGGCTTTTCTATATTTAATAAAAGTGTAATTTATATCTCACCTTAAAGAATATAGGTCCTTTTCAAGTGGGGTTTTTAGTGATACATTAAAGTTGAATGTATCTTAGTTGAATAAGAGAATAGTAACTTGAAATTTCATAACATTTCTCATCCTAAGGATTCTTATTGGTGTAGCTTGGAAGCCTGTGAGTCCCAATTCCACTTTATTTCATTACATATCTTTTCTGGAATCGTATGATATAAATTCAAGTCAGCAGAACAACCAAATTTTAACTATTCACATAGCTAAACTTCACTACTCAAGAAGTAATATATACACAGAAAAAATTTTATTCTTTCATCTTTTTCTTGAATCACTTTATTGAGATTTGATTGACATACAAAAAGCTGTTCATATGATGGCACCTGTGGCTCAAAGGAGTAGGGCGCTGGCTTCATATGCTGAAGGTGGTAGGTTCAAACCCAGCCCTAGTCAAAAAAAAAGCTATTCATAATTAGCATATGCAACTTGATAAATCTGGAGTTAAATACACACCAGTGAAACTATTACCACAAAAAAATCATAAATATATCTATCCAGCCTCCAAAGTCTTCTACTACCACTCTAATTACTTTTTTTCTTTCTTCTTTTGCCTTGTATAACTTTATTTATCAAGACACTTGTCTTACAAAGAGCCACTCGATGGACAGTGAAGAAAGAAGCTTTTATGTAAGAAATGCTGTGTTTGCCTCCACTATTATAATACCCTTTCTCCAGCCCCAAGGCTCCTTGCATGGCACAAAAACACACCTGTTCAGAATTTCTGTTGATAGATATCTCCAAGTTCTTGCTTTCTACATGAGAGTTTATGAACAAAATATGTCATTTCTCATATTGTAAACACTAGTTAAATTTTACTGGTGTAATGTACTTAGCTAAAACTGTCAACATCTACTCTTTCCATTCTGGAACCATTTTTTTTGCTGAATAAGTCAAACCAGTATATAGAACCCATTGTATGGAGTCGAACATACTTGGTAGATGTTGGATACTTGGCAGATGCTTATAGGAAACATGAGATCTCTGATCCCTAGATGATGCAGTTTATTTTATTAAGTGGCTTTCACATTTTGCATGGGTTTTTTTGGCCTCATGTTTCAGCCAAATATGTTCCAAAAAATACTTTAACAAAAGAATAGACAAGTAATTTTTGATGCTTTGTAACAATGGAGTTTGCTAAACCCAAAAATATAGCAATAAATTGTCATCTCCTGGATAATCTTATGTATTTATATATCTAAAAGCATATGTTTGTATGATTACATGCAAATCTATTCTTTTTGTGCTTAGGCTATTTCAACATTAATACTTAACAAATTTCAGAGTTAAGCAATACCTTTCTTTTCTCTCACATGACATAGAGACTTCAGAATGCTGCTGCCTAATTTACATGCTGCATTGCCCAGTGTTTTCATTCTATTACTTTATATGATAAATTAGATGTTATTGTTATGATTTTTATCATACAAACAATGCTCTTTTTTAGATTTATCTAAAAAAAAGGGTAGCCATAAAGTTTGTGTGCAATTTTAAATTGAACACTATTTTAAATTGCACATGAACTTTATGGCTACCCTATATTTACTAATATCTTAGTTCTCCATCCTACCTTATGTCCCATATTCTCCATTTTGGATCATTTAAGTTCTGCTTGCTATATATACTTCAAGTGCCCATCAACCCATGAATGGATTAATACATTTTCATATATGTACACCATGGAATATTATGCAGCCTTAAACAAAATGGAGGCTTTACCTCTTTGATGTTTACATGGATGGAGCTGGAACATATTCTTCTTAGCACAGTTATCTCAAGAATGAAGAAAAGGTACCCAATGTACTCAGCCCTACTGTGAAACCAATACGTAAGCACCCACATGTCCATATGAAAGCTATACCCCAACTATGGCCCAAGATGAAGGGGAAAAAGAAGAGAAAGGGGAGGGAGAGGGAAGGGGGAGGATAAATGGAGGAAGGGTAATTGGTGGGACCACACCTATGGTGCATTTTACAAGGGACATGTTAAATCTACTAAGTGTAGAATATAAATGTCTTAACACAGTATCTAAGAAAATGCAGTGAAGGCTATGTTAACCAGTTTGATGAAAGTATTTCAAATTGTATATAAAACCAGCACATTGTACTCCATAATTGCATTAATGTACACAGCTAGGATTTAGTAAAAATAAATAAATACATAAATAAATAAAACTTCCTTCAGTAAAATCTGCTGGAGGTAAAACTGCTCAGTGATGACAGTCTGAAAAGTCTATCATTTTCTCTCATTTTAGAAAGATGATTTTGCTGAATATAGAATTCTAGACTAACAGATAATTTCTCTTGACACACTCAAGACCCTGTCTCTGGCAATCACTGTTGCTCCACTCTAATGACTGTCTCTTTTTCTAGCTATTTTTCAGGGGTTTTCTTCTCTTGGGTATTATCTATAATATGTTGGTGAGAGGGTATCTTTTTATTTATCCAGCTTGAGATGTATTGAACTTCCTGAATCTGAGAATTGGTATCTTTCAATAATTCTGAGAAATACTCAGGCAGTATCTCGTCAAATATTACCTCTTCTTCATTATCTATTTTATTTCTATCTAGATTTCTGATTCTCTCCTCTAAGGTTCTTCATTTTCTTCTATGTTGTTAACTCCTTGGTTTTTCTAGCTTACATTTTGTTTATCTTCTGGATCTGTTGTCAGTATGTCTGATCTTTAATTTATCCCTTGTAATTTTTGTTTAAATTGGTACATTTTAATTTCTAGATATTCTTCTTGGTTCTTTTTCAAATGTATGTGGTCATTCCTTACAATTTCTTATTCCTGACTCATATATTCAATCATCTCATTTATGTTTTTAAACATAGTAACAGTTACATTATATTGCATATCTGATCATTTTAATATCGTTGAGGATCTTATTCTGCTGCCTATTGTTTCTGTTTGTTCTCATTCGTGCTGCTTTATTTCCTTATGTAATTTGTGGCTTGATTTTATTGTTTCACTGTGCAATGATTATTTCCCCATAGAAATTATTTTAAATCTGGATTGATGACCTAGCCTTCCACAGAGGACTTTTATTTGTTTCTGCTGATTATCTTCAGTCATTACCTAACCAAGGTCTTTTATATTGAACATTCTGCCTGGCATTTCCCAAACCACACCGACAGTATAAAATGTGAACCAAAACCTGGTACTGCTTGTGTTTAAAAATAGATGGGATTTTTTTTTTCCCTATCCACTCAAGGATAGGTTGAGGAGTCAAGGTTGAGGTAGGCAAATTCCCTTGCTATCTTCTTTTCTACATCAGACTTATTTTCTTCTTCTTTATTCTTGAGGATGGCACCCTTTGAAGTATCCCAGCTTTATGTGGGGTCCCCATTAAGCCTCCCATACTCCATAAAGCCATTAAATCAGATGCTCAATGTCTTCCAGGATCTAGGAGCAAACTTCTGCTTTGCTGCTTCCTAATCTCCTGAGGTTCTAACCTACTTTATGTAGGACTCTGAATAGTTCCCTTTTTATGTCAGCTTAGCAATTTATTTCAAAGGATTGCTACATTTGTCCAGTATTTTAGTTGTTTCTAACTTGAAAATGAAGTCTTTATATAATTAGAGACCTGAATGAGTGTCTATGTATATGGTTATATAGATGTTTCTTATTATATGTATTTATACTTTTTCATTTATGTTACATATAATCATAATTTTATTTCCAGTCGCATCTGGTTACAGCTTGCTAGCTGCTATTCACTTCAATTTTTCAACTATTCTACAAGAGTAACTATCTGGCTCTTTGTCACTTACCTTTTTTAAAAGGGAGAAAAGAAAACAGTTGGTATGCAGTTATTAAGATAGGGATAAATATAACTCACTGTTACCTTATTTTAAAATCCTCATTACATTATGTAGAACTGTAGACATTTTCAAATCCTCTCAATAATAAGGTCACAGGAATAATTATATCTGCATCCAGTTGACATAAGGGAATATAAAAAACAGTGGAGATATTTGAGCTATTGCACAAATGTAAGAAAGAGTAAACTATAAACATAACTTCCTTTAGCAAAGAACTCAATCTCGGAGAAGTTATGCTTACACCCCATTTTAGATCAGATAATTTTTAAGTGAATTGTCATAATGAAGAAAGCTTTTAAAAATGGCGAATCCCTTTGTCTCATAAAGGCTTTGTTGGGAATACAAATGATCATCCCTTTTAAAAAATCTGATTTTATATGAGATGTTGTTTTCAACTAAGCCCACATCTCTCTAACTGCAGTCAGTAAAGACAGTCTGGCTCAGGCAGCCCTTACTTGTCTCCCTAATAGGCTACCTTTTCTCTTCCAGTATGTGCGTGTATCTTTTGATACAAAACCTGATCTCCTCCTACACCTGATGACCAAGGAATGGCAGTTGGAACTTCCCAAGCTTCTCATCTCTGTCCACGGGGGCCTGCAGAACTTTGAACTCCAGCCAAAACTCAAACAAGTCTTTGGGAAAGGGCTCATCAAAGCAGCCATGACAACAGGAGCATGGATATTCACTGGAGGGGTTAACACAGGTAATTGGAAATGGCACATGGAAAGGCAGTTTAAGACCATGGGAACATTGTGCTTAAGATAATTTTCTCCTGAGGTTAAATATGTTTCTGTTTTCTCACCTCACCCTACCGTCTATCCACACCCACTGGTTACCTTTCCCTCCCTTACCTAAGTGGTGTTTGCACAGTTATTTCTCAGCCAAGAAAAAAAATCACTTACACAAAAGAAATAAGTTAGTATCTTTAATAGGTGACTACACAGAATTTTTAAACATGACTGGTGAAATTCACCAAGATATTTCCCATAGCTCAAGTTGCCATATAAACATTCAATCATTCCTTATGCAATGACTACTGCTTTAAACTGGAAACCCTACCTATATTCTTTAGGCAATTTCAAATTTGGTGCCAAGTTGCTCTAATTTTTGTAAAATGCCGTTTTCTTCTGGGTCATAAACTGTGATGGAATAGTCTAGGGTATTATGTATTTATTATCTAAAATATTTGATTAAATCATCTCCGCACCAATAGAAGACACACCTCAGTCTAAATTCTAAAGAGGTTTTCTTATCTGCCAAATGAGTTTCTGTTTTGTGATACAGACACCATGCCAAATCAATTCTTATGAATCCACTTACAGTTAAGTGCTTATCTGCAGAACATTATTAATGGGCACCAGATAATGTAATAGCTGCCTATAAATGTTTTTGCCGTATTTTTCCAGCTTGAGTCCTAAATGCCAATTGGACGTTTAAAGTAATAGTGCAGTATATTAAGGCAAACTTGTCACAGGGTTCAAAGTCTGTGCACATGGACATATTAGAAATCAGTGGGATATTTTGAACATAACTCTGGACCAACTAGTTTTAAATCACATGTTATCTCAATGTTGTTTATTTTCTTGTTTGTAGTTGGGATGATGTTTAAGTTAAAACCAGCATTGAGAATTCCTCTAAATACCAAGAATTTTTGAACATTTAGCACACAGCTGAATAGGCATCTTTAAGCAGTGAAGTCTTCAGACTGGCCTTGCTCAACATTATTACATGAAATCCTGACTCAGTCTGTAAACTGACACAATCTTAGAATATCTGTTAGCCCTTTACTGTTTATCCTGTAGTAATCGGATATGTACAGAACAATTTTTTTTCAATGACTGTTCAACTATTGGGTACCATGACTTACTCTTGGCTAAGTAGACATCACCTGCCTTTGATTATTATCTTTTTGCTTTTCTGTCATACAGAGAGCAACTCAAAGGATTTTATGAGCTCAAAAGAAATTCTTAATAGTCTTCTGTTTCTAGAAACTTGAAACATTGCTTACTGTTTTTCTTCTTTAACGAAATGTGTTTAACATCAAAAAAAACAATGTATATAGCCTAAATACTGTCAGCTAAGGAGTTCACCTCTGCCTCATTCCAGGCTTAGCGTTCAGTCCAGTACCCAAGGTGAGGTTCTTATGATAGAATGGTGAGAAGTGATGACAGAATCATGCAGACAGAGGGGCATGCTTTGAAGTTAAATATCCTGTCCAGGGCTGGCCCTGAAAGGAGATTTGCATATTAATAGGAATCAGTGTAATATAATTTTCACAGGGTTACTTTCTCAGGGTTGTTTTTATGAGCATTTTTTTTTTTTGGTGGGAGTTGTTTGTCTTGCTTTTTATCGATTCTCAGAAGACTTGTAGATAAACTAATAAGTGAAAATTATCTTCTTTCAGTGTCCCTGGCTTAGCTCAACATGGATTAGTAGCTATTTACATGATTTTATTACTTAATTTTTAAAAAGAGATTCTTTCTGTTTGATGTTATGAATATTTCAGAAGTGAGTTATTTAAATATGTACATCTATTCCCATGATTTAATTGCCTGGTGTGTTCTGTGTGTTTAGTTAGTTGGGAGCACAGTGTCTGAGCTTTTCCCTGGGACCGCCCCTGAGGTGCAGGCAGATGAGGAAGACACTGACCCTCCAACCCTCCCCTCCAGGAGTTTTACTGTTAGAAGAAACATCTTCACAGGCAGTTATGGTGCACTGCAGAATATGTTAGGTGACATTTTGAGCTGCGCAAAATATGCAAACTGTTAACACATTCAAACTCAACATTGATATAGGAGATAGCACTGGATATGAAGATTTCCTTCAGGATGGGGGGGAATTTTGATAAGTGGAAACATCTTTTCTTCAAGAATATATCTTTGAGTCTCCCATAAAAAAATAGCCAGGTTAAAAGATTAAAAACTACATCTTTTTTAAATGGCCTCTAAAAAGGTAAGAGTTAGGTGGCCTAATACCTTGTAAACTGAATTTTCTCACTTTTTGCTATGATGAGGAAAGCCATGTTTGGCAGAGGAGGAAAATAATTAGAATAATAAAGATTAAAAGGTACATCTACACATTTTTAACAGAAGTCATCCACAGAATAGGCCAATGTTTTCTTTATAAGTAGTTTCTTCACATTATGTGTCTACAAGTAGGAAGATAAGAAAAAGTTTAACAAAATATGAGCTATTTGAATGACCTTAGTTGATACACAAACTGTGGTCTAAATTTAGTATTATATGTGGTGGTTTTTATATGTTACAGTCAAGGTATTGATTCTTAGCTGTGCTAGTGAATCATTATGCTCATTATATAAGAAAAAGATTCTCTAAGTTTAAAGAATTGCATTTGTTATTTTCATAGATGTATTTTTTGTTCATGTAAATTAGCATATGCAATGCTGGAGTTCATGTGTAAGTCTGGCAAATGCATCTGGCATTATAGGCAAAGGTTTGTGTTCTCTCTTAAATATATGTAGTTTATATAGAAATGTGTCAAAATTTTTCATTCAGTGAATTTAACCTTGGGAGAAATAATTATCTAATTTCCTTTAGAATAACAGAAAGGTGCTTATTTTAAAAGATAAAATTAGTTCTTCTGTCCTTCCTCTTAGGTGTTATTCGTCATGTCGGAGACGCTTTGAAGGACCACGCATCTAAGTCTAGGGGGAAGATATGCACCATAGGTATTGCCCCCTGGGGAATTGTGGAAAACCAGGAGGACCTGATTGGAAGAGATGTAAGTCCTAAGAGCTATCCCTTTCCATGACTTCTCCTAGAGGGGATATTGGAAGAGTAAAATATAATTAGCATTCAAAATGTGCATCTTATGGTACTCTTTGAGTTCCCACCTCCCGAGAAGAAACTCATGTTAGAAATAGTTTATTGGGCAATTACTTATATTCCTAAATCTATCTATGCAAACTCCATGTCAATTCTTAGATCGAGAAGGGTCTCCAAGAATGGAGAAGCAAGAATCCAATGTATTCATTTCTAATATAAAGGCAGTAGATGATCTAATACAAGGTGGGGGGTATTAGGGGAAGGAGGGAGCAGGAGTTGAGGAGGAGGGAGGTGGGTGGGGGAGTCACAGTGTATGACACACCTCTTGGGATCTCTGTTCTTTCCAATGGTCTCTCTCTTTTAAAAAAAAAAAATCAAAAAACAGGTTATTACCAACATCCCTTAAAAAGTTGTTTTCTCCTATTAACCATTGGACTTTTTCCTCTACATAATACTTCTCAAAATTTCATTGATAAGGATTGCAGTTATACTATATCAAAGATTGCCATACTTTATTTGCTACTTTTTTCCTAGTAAGTTTAACAATTAATTATCTTTGTTCTCGACATCAGCAACATAGTTTTTCCTTCCCAATCAAGGACTGCCATAGAACAGGACAAATGTGTTAAGTAGATTTTTTTTTTATTTTTTTTTCCTATCTGCGCCATCAAAGAGGCTAAGAATTGGTGCTAAACCGCTTCTTCTATTATGAAGTACGATGTAGTTACATTTCATTTCAATCTAACACAACAGATGTAGTTTTTTGAAATATGATGCAAAATACTTAAAATTAGAAATAAAGTCATGAGACACAAGCACTAGACAAACTCTTTAAATCCTTCAGAACTTTTAAGTGCTAAAAAGTGTCCACCTCAAGGATACCAAATTGCAGGTAGAAATGCTCATTTATCCTGAACACAAAGGATAAGAAATAAGGTATCAGTTTATTAGCATAATGTTCTCTTAACTGAAATTTTCATACAAACTGAAATTCTCAGGTCAAGGGGTGGCCTGACTGGAAAAGTGATTGTTGCTAATTTTTTCAAAGTATCTGGGACTTTCACAGAATACACTTTGGGTAATAATTGCTTTAGATTCCAAATTGGCTTTTAAATTAATTTTGAACAAGAACAAATATATTTCTTAAAGAATTAAAATATGCTAAAATGCCTTCGACACCAAAACCATTTAATAGTGTATTTTATGTCATTATTTGAAACATAAATGATGATTCCGAAGTCATTCTGAAATAGTCCCAGCTTCCGGATCTCTACTGCAAATCTAAATTATATTACTTAACTTAGAGGAGAGAGGCTGGTCTGGAACCTTCTCATTTGGGTGCACTATGTATGAATTAATGACAGCTGACAATTTCTTTATTCAAGATAACTGTGACCAAATCATTCTCTCAGTTGCCTGAGCATTTGTAAAGAGTGCTGGCCTCTGGTCTCTTGCCTCTTTATGTTATTTTGTTTGTTCATCTTGTAAAGCTTACATGCTTGCAAAAAGACAACACTTCTGTCACAGGTACTAACCCTGCTGAATTAGAAGGTCACTCCTGATTCTTCTCCTCTGACTCCAACTTTTCCTCTGCTTTCACCTTCTTCTCATGCTCCTCTTTGTTCTCTTCTTCTTCCTATTTGCTTCTTCCCAATTGCATGCCAATGGGAGCTCAGGCATGCCAAGGGGATTTAGTGACATTTTCTGACTTCCCAATTAAAAAGGGTTTTGATCCCAACACAAAGGGTGAAAAATGTTCAGTAAATGTGTGTGTTCATCATCCCTGTTCCTGGGGGTCAAAGAAAGGCAAGTCATGGCTCACAAAGAACAAGATGAGCCCTTAGAAAGACATTCATGAAAAGAAACGAAGGTCTCAGGTTGTAGAAAGCACAGAAAAAGCAGTTACGTTTTAGTTTTTCAGTAACCTTTGACCAACATCTATTGACTTTTGACCACTCTAGTACCTCCATAACTGGGAACTAGAATATGCATAGGATGTCTCAGGCTCTTGCGTGAAATAGAGCTTGTCGTGTTGTGTTCTAATTTACAAATTATTTGGAGCAAAGAACTATTTTAGGCATATAGGATTTATGACATAATTTGAGGTAGGGATTTACACGTGTTCACTGTTCGAATGTGATGGTTAAAAAGTAACGTGAACTTTTTAGGTTGCCATAAAAAGAGGTACTTGAATAACATGTTGGTGAAAATTCCCCTAAATCAATGATCAAATCGGGGTTGTTATGTCATAAATTTGCTGTGTAGTGACATTAATTTTCGTAGCTAGCTTAATGTAGTGCCTTCTACCTTTTCTCTTTTATTTTATATCATCGAACTTACATATAATAAACATCAAAAAAAGAAACCTTTTAGCATGAGATGTCAGTTGGAAGAGAAAAACAAATGTATTATTAAAAATCTTTACCACTTCAGAGTTCTATCAAAATGCAATCATTTGAAGAAATAGAACAGTTGCATTCTCAGTCAAGTCTATGTCTGTACTCCGGAATAATGTTGAAAAGGTCCAAAACAAAGGTTAGAGGAAATCTAGGAAATTTATTCGAAACAGGCACAAATACAAGGTTAAAAGAAAGACTCCATTTCTTAGGCCTGCTATATTGTTACAGTGGATTTATTTCTAAACTAATGGGAAATATAAATTATTTCTGTGGTGCTAGCTCTTTTAGAAGTACTTTTAAAAGCTGAACATTCAAGTACTATTAGAATTCTTTTATTGATTGATAAAATTAGTTAGGTGCAGCAATTGCTATTCATCTTAATCTCTTGAGAATGCGCTAGAGAGGTGAACACTGGTCTTAAACCTAAAGGAGAGAATTTACTTGCCCTGGGATCTGCTTCTGGATAGTCTGAAACATTCTCCTCCACGGAGTCTTGTTTCATAGCTAGACTTGAGGGCAGAGAACACATCTCTGGATTCTCAGAACCCAAGTTAGAGCCTCACATTTAGCAGGGCCTCAATAACTATTAATGAAGATGGGTTTGAAATGATGAAATCCTAGATACAGAGAAAATAAACATTATGGAAAAGATGTAATGATGAATGTTACTGAGTTCACAACTTCATCTCTAATCATATTCCCAAAGCTACATTATACTATTGTGACAATAATGGGGACATTTTTTTTAACTAAGCATCTTGATGTAAAATTGCTCTCTTATGTAGCAACTCAAGGAGGGAGGTGGGAGTGGTGCCTGGGGCTCAAGAAGTAGGGCGCCAGCCCCATATACCAGGCGTGGTGGGTTCCAATGTGGCCCTGGCCAAAAACTGCAAAAAAAAAAAAAAAAAAGGAGGGAGGTGGATGATGAAGCATCAGCCTGTTGATCGCGGAGGCAAAGCAGGGTGGAATGAGAACAGGCCTTTCTCTAAGGGCTTTGGCAGATGTATGATCTATCCAGCTGAGTGACAAAAACAGCCTGATGCCTTAAATTTAAATGTTTCCACCCCATTTAACCAAATTCTGCTTTCTCAATTAATAGATCCAAACAATAAACTTTGGTGAAGAACAATGCTGTAAATACTAAGACCATGATCATTTTTTTTCTTCCAGTTAGGCTTGAAAACATACACAGTTTCGATTATTAAGGTTAACTCCCCCTCTGGGATTTCTCCATACTATTTCTATGGTCCTTTTCCTCCATTACTGTCCATAATCCTACATTTCCATATTTAGCTCAAGGTTCACTTCCACTGAGATGTCTTCCCTGATTAACCTCACCCATAATCTCACATCCCTGATTGTAAATCTCCCACAACTGTCTTCTTCCCCAGCTGTCAGGCTGCTATAACCAAATACCACAGACTAGAGGTCTTATAAACAACAGAAAATTATTTCTCATAGTTCTAGGGGCTAGACAGCACCTTCTGGCTGTGTCCTCACATGATAGAAAGAGCAAGGGATCTTCCCAGGCTTCCTTTTATAAAGTCACTAATTCCATTCACAAGGGCTGCACCCTAATGATTTAATCACCTCCCCAAAGCACCACCTCCTAACACCATCACCCTGGAGGTTAGGATTTCAACATATGAATGGGGAGTGGGTTTAAATATTCGGTCCATTGCACCAATTTAATTCAAAACTCCCTAAACAGGAATTGAATTGTTTTCTTTGTTTCTTCTTAACCCCTATTGTAATACCTTGTATAAACAGGACACATTGACATAATCACTAAAAGTCTACAAAATGTGGATTCTTCACCTCTAAGTGGATATAAAAACACTTTCTGCTTATCTTTATGCAATTTCTATGAGCATAATCATAATAATAGTAATTATAACTCAGCGAGCTCTTATTTGAGTATGCTCTAGGATTGCATATATTAGCCTTATAAGGTATTACTATACCCCTTTCATAGTTGAACTGGGGTTCAATACACTGTAATACCCCAGTTCATAGTAAACTGAACAAGATTTAGAACCAAATCCAACTTTTTCTAAAGCCTATAATTTCAAATGTTATTGTGTCAAGTAAGATATAAGAAAATAATATTATGTTTTTATTGTCAGTTGAGGTATCGACACATATCTTATGCCTGTAAATTGAACTCAAAAATAGACTCAGTGAATGATCAGAGCTCTTTTTTTCTTGTCTTGAGAGAATCGTGACCTGGATAGATAGATTATGAAAGTACCAACAGTGTAAAGTCAAGAAAGAATGTCCAGTGAAATATAATTTCATGTGACACATTTTAAATTTAGATTTAGAAAACAATCTAATCAGATCTGTGTCAGGTAAATGAACAGTTTCTGAAGCCTGTATCATTTGTCTTTTCCAAAATCTAGATTAACAAGACACATACCAATTTAAACATTCAGACATAATCACAAGAAAAAGCTCTTTTCATTGTAACTCGAGGATGGAAATTGTGTTTGCGTAGATTTCTAACACATCATCTTATGTGGTTATTAAGTTATTTTCACATTCAATGATATCTTTG